GTTGGCTGGCAGCCCCACTCCCCCGCTCCCGCTCCCATGCGCTGATGGTGCTGACCCCGCTTGCACCCGCTGATTGGGGCAGGTGCCAGCAGCAGGTGCAAGCGGCAGCTGCTGCCCCAGTCACCCCCCAGGAGCAGGGGGAGGTGGAGGATCCCTCAGGGGTGATCAGGGCCGGCAGCTACCACTCGAACCCACTGATAGCGCTGAGTGATCAGGACCAGTGCCAGGCATTGGCAGTGGGTGCGAGCAGTGGCTCCGGCTCTGACACCGGCTGCAGGTTCAAGTGGTGCCGTTGCTGGCAGCGGGTGCAAGAGGTGGCTGCCGGCCCCAATCTCCCCTCAGGAGCAGGGTAAGGTGGAGAAGCCCTGAGGGGCAACTGGGGCTGGCAGCTGCCGCTCGCACCTGCTGATGGCACCGATCAATTTGGGCTGGCGCTGCGTGCCAGCAGTGAGTGCGAGCGGAGGGTCCAGTGCCAGCAGTGGATGCGAGCAGGGCCGGTGCCAGTGCAGGTGCAAGCGCCGGGTGGGACTGTGGTGCATAGGAGCAAAGAATTTTCGGTAACTACCAGAGGCTTGCCCCCATGACAGTGACCAGCTCCCCGCCTTGGTTTGGTGCCCTCGTTCACCTGCTCCACCATCCCACCATGTTCTGCGCACGCCCCCTGGTGGTCAGCGTATGTCATAGTGACTGGTTGTTTGGTTGTTCCGGTTGTTTCACCATTTGGTCTATTTGCATATCAGCCTTTTATTATATAAGATTTTCTACAAGATTTCTATAAGAGACACACCTTATGAGTGGGTCATACTTTTATATAATACTAGAGGCCTAGTGCACAGGGTAGGGTCCCTAGGGGCCTCCCTTCCCTCAGCCGCCTGCCACCGGTGCTGACCAAGGTGGGTCAGCCAGGGGGAGGGGGCTGTAGGTGGTTGGCCCACCGGCCTGCCCCCTGGTCGAACTCCTGGTGGAAGGGACGATTTGCATATTAGGCTTTTATTATATAGGATACCAACCTTAAACTTTTGATTGGATACTTTATCCATTTACATATCACAGTTAGAGATAACATAAGGTTCACACTTGCCACCTGATATTTGTTTTTCCTTTTTCTTTTTCTTTTTTAATCATCACCTGAGGCTATGTTTTGTATTTATTTTTTTCTTTTTATTACAGAGAGGGAGGGAAAGAGAGAGAAAGAAACATCAATGTGAGAGAGAAACATCAATCAGTTGCCTCCCGTAGGAGCCTCCACTGGAGATCGAACCTGCAACTTAGGTATGTGGCCTGATGGGGAATCAAACTGTAACCTTTTGGTGTACATGATGTTCCATCCATTTGGGCCAACAAGCCAGGGCCTTTCTTTTTTTGGTTGTGCTACATAGATATTTTTTATTGTGTCATAGTGATTCACTTTCCCCCCTATATATTTTTGAACAATATTTTAGTAGTTGCCTGGGGATTAAAACAATCTAGATTGGATTAATACCAATTTAATTGCAATAGTTTATGGAAACATTTGTCCAGCGTAGCTCCATTCTTCCCATCTTTATGCTGCTACTGCCACAGATTACATCTTTACATATTGAGTACTCCTCAATACTGAATGATAATTTTGATTTTTAGAAATCATAATAACTAATTATAATGATAATGATTAGTTATTGATACTTATAATTTCTCTTTATTGACATTCTCTATATCAATAGAGAGAGGGATTTTATATCTAAGACCATTATTTCCTCTATGTTATCTCAACTAAGGCGTATTTCTGTCATAGATGAACACACCTTTTCCTTTCTAAGTTTTGACATTTTAACCTTTTTTTAAAAAATATATTTTATTGATTTTTTACAGAGAGGAAGGGAGAGAGATAGAGAGTTAGAAACATCAATGAGAGAGAAACATCGACCAGCTGCCTCCTGCACACTCCCCACTGGGGATGTGCCCACAACAAAGGTACATGCCCTTGACTGGAATCGAGCCTGGGACCCTTGAGTCCGCAGGCTGATGCTCTATCCACTGAGCCAAACCGGTTAGGGTTGACATTTTAACCTTTGCTTCAGGTCTTGGACCTTGTCATGGTGATCCATTCCTGCAGCCTGATATTTTGGAAAATGTTCTTAAGAACTGTTATTATTTCACTGCTAAAATACTCAATGTTTTTAGTTCCTTTGAGCCAGTTTATTACTCTGTAGCATGCAATGGGATTTATGTTTCTCCTGCTCACAATCATACCCATTAATCACTTAGAACTTGGAAATGGAGGAAACACAAGACTGCCTGTTACTAGTTGAAGAAAGCAAGACTGAAAATTTTACCTTCTCTTTCCTGAGGATCAAAGTTGGTGGAATTCACTGCCAAAGTTATTGGATTTAGCCTCAAGACTTGATTCATGTTTTTTGTTGCTTTTATGTTTTATATACTTTCTTTTTTTGGTCATCAATCTTGGTTATGTTGGATTTTACTTCGACACCTACTCAACAAATAAGAAAAAATAATTTTGAAAGCCCTTTAGCATTAACATTTATAATTATAAATGAAATCATGCGGTTTATGTTCTTTGTAATTTTAATAATTAACACTTTGTCACAACTTTATTTTAAGTATATTTTGAAGATATTCTATGCACTTGCTTTTAGGGAGGTAGGTTTAAAATAGGAATTTATGAATCATTTAAACAAACAAGTGAATATATTAGAGATTAATAGCAAATACATGATGGTGATGATATATGTGTGATTTGATTTACTATGTTCCTTCAAGGAGTAAGAGGTGTGTGGAGAGAACATTGGTTAGAGTTTTTTGTTGTTGTCAGCTTCACAAGTGTCTTCTTGATGTTTAGAGCCAGTAGTAGGAGGGGTGTCAGGTGAGGGAATGGGCATGTGGGAAAAGGTTATGCTGCCAAGGATCTGCTTCTTTCTTTTATAATCATAGATTTGATGACTAAGGTCTTATGGAAAGCAAGAAATTCTCTACTCATACTGTAGAGAATAAGGTAAAATTACAAGTGCATTTAAAATATGTCTGTTATTATCACCAAGTTGAAATTAAAGGTAGAAAGCAAGAAATTGCTATTGGATGCATTTTGAACACTTTTTTCTTCTTCTTTTTTTTTGTCCATGGAAGGAAAGCTTATTACCAGTATAAATATTAAAGGAACTCAAGCTGTTTCTGAATTTAAAACTTTACTTTGCATGATAACCTAAAGATTAACCTTTATTTAATTTCTGACAAAATACAGAATTTACAGTGTCATAGCACATAACAGATGTCATAGTTTATATTTATAAAATATCTTACTTATTTAAATAATTTATTTTATTGCAAATGCTACTCTTATTACTTATTAGCATAATGTAGCAAATCTGATTTTTGACCAAACTTTAAGAAATAAACATGATTAAGTAATTTTCTTGACAAATGAAAGCAATTTTTCCTATATATTTATGAATGTTTTTTTAGTAGCTGAATATTTATAAACAATAATTTAGGGCCTGTTGAATACTATTATCATTTGCATTGCTAATAATATTATTGAAACTTAAAACAATATTTTAATATGGCTCTTTAGGCTTATTTAATTAATCACTTGCTTAACATTTGCTTTAACTGCTGAATATGAAGTAGGAACAAACTGATAGTCCACTTGTATCACTGTGATACCGTCATCTAAATTATGTTTATGTAATAACTAGAGGCCCAATGCATGAAATTCATGCAAGAGTAGGCCTTCCTTCCCCCGGCTGCCAGCACCAGCTTCCCTCTGGCACCCTGGACTGGGGCTTCCCTCCAGCCACTGGCCGGCACCCAGGACCCAGGCTTCCCTGGCAGGACATCCAGTCTAATTGGCATATTACGGTTTTATTATTATAGATTCCAGGGAGTACATTCTGTTATTGCTGGAATTTCAATTATGCATCAGACTATATCTATAAGTAATCATTAATGTCATTGCTTTCTGCTTAATTAGAGTACAATTTTGGAATAGGTCTAGAGAAAAAGAGGTATGTAAAGTTTCATAATGTTACTATTGATTACTAATGATGTGACAATTAAATTTGATTTCTAACTTAGCTTTAAAATACCACTAAATAACTAGGGTAGACATATCATCATAACATCATCAACATCATTTTTTCATTCTTTTTGACAAATAGTGGCACACACAGAAAATAATGGTTCTCAGATTATATACTACAGCCTTGTCAAGTATTACAGGAAATCTATGAAAGTCCAGAGAATGTTATTATTTATGTATGTATGTATTTATTTTTGTTTATCCTTACCCGAGAATACTTTTTCCATTTTCTTTTTTTAAGGGAGAGGTAGAGATAGAGAGAGAGAAACATTGATGCGAGAGAGACACATCGATTGGTTGCCTCCTGCATCCACTCCAACGGGCAACCGAGGCATGTGCCCTTGATTAGATTCAAACTCGTGACCCTTCAATCCACAGACCAACACTCTAACCACTAGCTAGGACTACATTTATTTTATAGGCGTTTAAACAGTAGCTGGCACAGTCTGTACTGCAGCATACAAGAGAGTATCAGGGCTCAGTATTGTTTCCATAATCCTGGAAAAAGCTGGGACATTTGATCAAATCCTTTCTGGAGAGAATCACAGCAAATAATGATCTCTTTTGAATTCCTCATTGAATTGCTTATTTTGGAGAGCAATCCTAACATAATGTTTTCTCTGGATACCATCTTTGCAGAATTATAACTTTCTGCATTATATAAGCTAAATTGGGTTGTGGACTGCAGGCCATAATAGTGCTATAGGGAATATAATCCCAATTAGTTATTTCAGTGGGGAATATAATGAATATAAAAATATCAGTCAGATCATTTGCAAAAGCAAATGATATAGTTAAATGTTTAATTCTTTGAGCAAAAATATATTGATCCAATGTAGATATAAGCCTGAATTACTGCCTGGTGTATTAACTAAGCTTACCAGTGATTACCCTAAATCTAAATGCTGACTCTTGTTTCTAATAGCCCACTTTCTCTCACTGGTCTCCAAAGCGGACTTTCCTTCAAACTTAAGAAGCCGAGTTTTTCTTCCGATGAATAATCTGCATGCTTGTCAGGTATTTGAAAGCACACAGCACTTTAAAACTTTTTACACTTGGGAACTTCTTTATTATAATTGTTTGAATATTAATTATTTTTTTCACAGATTACATTTTATTACTTCTCCAGTCATAGGAGTGCCAAATTAACAGCTGGCCTTCAAACTACATGTGGGGGTCCTATTCAACCTTTATGGCAAAACATAGCTGTAGCCCAAAATCAGTGGGAGAGAAAGGCCATCAGAATTCAGTGCTCCCAGAAGTTTCAGGTATGTTTGTTATATTTTCTAGCTATTTTTGAAAGAAAGATGATAAGATTCAATTTTTTAAAAAAAGAACTTCCTTTAAAAATATGGTTTTATTGATATTTAGAGAGTACTAGGTAAATTAAAAGTGGGATGACTAACTGTCCCATTTGGCATAGGACTGAGGGATTTGCCAGGACTTTTAAGAGTTGAGACCAAATAGATCCAGGAAATTGGGTTGGGCAGTCACCCCCAAAAGACACTTAAAAAAGGCTTTAAGTTTATCTCTCAAAACTGGAGTTGATAAATATTAAGATATATTGATATATCAGTAAAATATAACCTTCTGATTTTCTTCTTAAATTCTTGAATCCTCCTTGTTTTTTTCTTTATTTCTCTTACTATTTCAATGTCCTATTTCTTTTCATTTATTCTTAAGGCTCACTTCCCTTTCAGACTTTTCTCATGCTTTTGAGAGAACAGGTTATGTTGGGTAATGAGGAAATAGACTGTTTAATTAAATACTAATTCCAAATGCTGCTGACATGAAATAATGGTCATATTCATTTCATGGTTAAACTCAAATTATTCAATACAGCCTTTATTTTCCAAAATAATTTTGAGAAATAAAGTCAAAGCAAACCTTTAAAATATAAACTTATTTATACAACCTAATAAAACTTATGTATGGTGGAAATTATAATCTAATAATTATTACAAGGCTTCTTGGAAAAGTATTGCATATTTTAACATTTGGGACAGCCAAGCAAAATTTTCCAGTTAAAAGAGGATCTTAAAGCATTTTATTCTGAATTAATTTGCTTTTTAAACCTGATTTGTGAGCCAATTTAGCCCAAGTGGGTTTCCTTTATCATCTTTATTAAGATAGTGTAATATAGTCAATTTTATAATTTCGTTAAAGAGTGCAAAATCATTTGATATGTGATGAATTTAGCATTTGCTTAAATATAGTACTTGAATTGGATTTAATTTTAAGTTCAGCTATTTTGAATGGCTAAGAGGAAAGGCAGGAGAATGAGCAGGGTCACTATTATAAAAATTAAATTATAAGATATAAGAATGGCATATTTTTTTTTAATTGAGCTGTCATAAAATCACAGTATTTTGGAATTTTCAGGCTTTTGTAAACTAAATGTGTATTCGAAGAAATGAAAAGAAAAGCACTTAGTAGATGGTTAAATGACACCTGGACAGATAAAACTTAAATGGAATTGTATGGTTAGAAACACAGTTCTGTCATTTTGAGCCTTTGCACTCAATTTAAATGATATATCAGTGTGTTGTGAGGTTATCTTAAGCCATTAAGCATTAGGCATTTAAATGATTGATTCACTTATTTAACAAAGACTTATTTGGGGCACTAAGGATGCTATAGGTGGGATTCAGGGAATGTTCCCAGCTCCATATTAATGGGAAAAGAGTTTTTCCCCAGCTCTATTGAAATAGAATTGACATGTGAAATTATGTACAATTAAGGGTACAAAGTGATGATTTGATGCAGTTATATATTGTGAGATGATTATCAAAATAAAGCTAGTTAACCCACCGATCACTTCACATAATTATAGGTTGTTTTTGTTGTTGTTGTGTGCTGAAAACATTTAAAATCTACTCTCTTGCCCTGGCTAGTGTGGCTCAGTTTGTTGGGCCCTGCCCCATGCACCCAAGGGTTGCCATTATAATTTCTGGTCAGGACACTTGCCCAGGTTGCAGGCTCAGTCCCCAGTAGGGGGTGTGCAAGAGTCAGACAATTGATATTTTTGCTTTCACATCATTGTTTCTCTCTTCTCCTCTCTTCCTCTTTGTTTAAAAATCAATTAAAAATATTTTAAAAATTAAAAAAATCTACTCTCTTACCAACTTTCAAGTTCATATTATAGTACTATTAGCTATATTCACCATGCTGCATGTTAGATACCCAGAACTTATTCATTTTGTAATTGGAAGTTAGTATCTTTTGACTAACATTTCCCTCATACAACAGCCCCTGGCAACTACCATTCTGCTCTTTTTAAAAGTTATTATTATTAATTGAGTTTATTGGAGTGACATTAGTTCACAAAACCATACAGGTTTTAAGTGTACGACTCAATAAAACATCATCTGTACATTGCATTGTGCACCCATCGCCCAAAGCAAGGTCTCTTTCCATCCCCATTTCTCTACTCTTTGTTTTCTATGAGTTTGGATTGTTTAGATTATATATGTAAGTGAGATTATATATAATATTTTTCTTTCTTTGTCTGACTTATTTCACTTAGCATAATACCATTAAATCCATCCATATTGTCATAAATGGTAGGATTTCCCTTTTTTCTGAATTATTTCTTTGTATGTACACGCGACATTTCTGTATTCATTTATCCATCCACAGATACTTGAGTTGTTTCCATGTCCTAGTGATTATGAGTAATGCTGCAGATAGGGGAGTATAGCTATCTCTTTGAGACAGTTATTTCATTTCCATTGAATATATACCCAGAAGTGGGATTGCTTGATCATATGGTAGTTCTATTTTTAATTTTTTGAAGAAGCTCTATACTGTTTTCCATGGTGGCTGGACCAATTTACATTCCCACTAACAGTGCATAAAGGTTTCCCTTTCTCCACATCCTCTCCACTCTAACATGTGTGAAGTGTATTTTGGTTTTGATTGCATTCTTCTAATAATCAGTGATGCTGAGCACCTTTTAATGTTAGCAATTTGTACAAATGTTTACTCAGGTGCTCTGCCCATATTGTTTATTTTCTATTGAATTGTATGAGTTCCTTACATATATTGGATATTAACCCCTTACTGGTATATTGTCATCAAAGAGAAAACTTTTGACAGGCTTGGGAATGAGACATAATGTGTTCCTGGATTTGGTGTGTGGAATGAGAATCCAGATACCAATAATGTATCTAATTTGATGTGGCTATTGAAGTGCTAGAAATTTCTAGTTTATTTCTTACACTTCTCTTCTTACTCCCTTATGCCTCTTTGTCTTTTCTCAGTAACAACAAAAGCAATAATACAGAGCCAAGAGTGCTTTTGAGGGGATTGAGTCACATTGACTAGATGCTGCAGGATGAACCTGTTGAAGTCCTTCTGTCTGCATGCTTGTATAAACTTTAATGACTGACATGGGAATCTTGTTTATATATAAATTTTATCAGTGTTTACACATCTTTTCCATCTTTCAAACAGAGTGGATGGTAAAAAAGTCTTGAACTATCTTTTTATGTCAAACTGTCTCTCTTTAGGTCAGGCTTTTTACTGGTAGAGCAACTCATTTGGATGTTGGGCAGAGCTGGAACCTGTTGGTTTTGTAGGTTAGACCTTTTATTTTTTTTATTATATTTTTAAAAATATATTTTATTGATTTTTTACAGAGAGGAAGGGAGAGGGATAGAGAGCCAGAAACATCGATGAGAGAGAAACATTGATCAACTGCCTCCTGCACACTTCCTACTGGGGATGTGCCCACAACCAAGGTACATGCCCTTGACCCGGGTTCCTTCAGTCCACAGGCCGATGCTCTAGCCACTGAGCCAGTCCCTTCAGTCCACAGGCTGATGCTCTAGCCACTGAGCCAAACCGGTTAGGGCTAGGTTAGAGCTTTTAAAATACCTTCCTTGTTTTTTTCAGCTGTCCATTCCCAAAGGGCACATTGTGTGGGTTGATGATTAAATATGTGTAGTAGCTAAATATAAAACTTAAAATTCCCAAATTTATCATCTCCAGTGTAGCTGAGGCAGCAGGGTTATTCATTTGAGTGCTCTAAAATGCAACAGTGGCTGCATCCAAAGCAGACGCATGTGCAGTGTATTAATTTGTTTCCCCAAATACTTTGTTGCTGATATGAAAACAGTGCTGCTACCTTACAGGCTTTGTAAAAATTAGGAAATAATATGACTCTGTTGGGACCTTTGGCTACATCAATCTTTCAGGTTGCAGGTATGCCTTAGTTCTCTCCTGTCAGCAAGTGAGCAGATGTTCATTTGCTTCTGTTTGGCTGGGCCACAGAGATGTGCTGTGCTTGTAATACTGCCTGTCACCATCCAGTAGCTCATTCCTGAAAAGCTATAGTGAGAGGCTTATTGGAGGGCATTTGTAATCAGTATCTCCAGACAGTGTCTGTTGCCTCATCAGTTTACAAGCCTCTGAGAATTATTCTGTTTTTCACAATTTCCCCACCATGCTGCCTTCTGGTCATTTTAAAGCCATCCGTGCTTCCTTTAGAAATATATCAATAGGAGATTTTAGACCCACCTGGACCTTGGCTCAGCATGAGTTTCTGAGAAACCCTCTGGACTGTGAGGGCTTTTTCACCTTCATCTGTAAAGTACTGGGTCCATCCTTTCAGAAAATGAAGCATGCTAATTTTTGAGAGAATACTGCTACATAAACAGAGTGGTGTTTATGCATTTAGTCAACAAAGATGGCTGCATTTCAGTAAGTCATGAAGATGTTTAAGGAATAATAACAACCACCAATTTATTGAGCACTTGCTATGTGTAAGGCACTGCATTTAGTCCTTTGTGTATATTATCTTATTGACCCTTCACAGCAGTCCTCTGCAGTAAACCTATAATGTACCCTGTTATTCAGTGAGGATTAGGAGCTTTAGACAGTGGAATAACTCCAAGCAGATTAGTTTGATTTCAGATATCAACCATGTAGTCACTAAGCCATGATAATTTTTGTCATGTGAAAGCAGTATGAGGATTTATAAGATAGAAAAAACATCCAACCCCCAGATTTGGTCAGATCTGTTGCATGAATATCTGTTGCATTAGATATTCTTTTGTCTGAAGTGTTGGGTGAAACGATATTATTATGCATTGTATGGTGCAGTTTAACCACAATCACATTTTTCAAAATTGCAGACATAAGCAAGTAATTGTACTACTGTCCTAAAATGTTCATGGAAGCAAAGAATAAAACAGTCATAACATAAAGGAGGAATTTAGTCCCCAATTCAAGTGAAACCTTCCTTTATTACCCGCTACCCTCTTTT